TCCTTTCCAATGGATCTGGTTAGCTGTACCCCTCTTTTCCTTGCTGGGACTTGGGTGCTCCCCAAGGCCAGTGCCCCACCGCTGGGCTTGCTACTGGCCTCTCCAGATAGCTTTTCTGCCTTCTCACCCCATCTTTGTGTGCTGGCAATACTGATCCTGACATGATGAACTGTGGCCACACTGGTCTACCTGCTATCCTGCAAATACCGCTTGCTTCACTGACTTCATGTCTTCTTCATTTTCCCCCTTTTATATTTCTACTAGTTTGGAGTCTTCCCTCATTTCATGACCTCTATTCAAATCCCACCTTCTCCCTGAAACCATCCTGTCATCCACACCAAAGTCTTCCTTCACCAAGCACACTCTGAACTGTTCATCTGGACCTCTCCTGTAACTGCCTTGTTCAGTAATTATTTGTGTGGTTACTTGGTAAGTGGTAAAGAGCTGTACAAAAGTAAGATGACATTATTTGTGGTTTTATGTTTTCAGAGATGTTGTGAGTGCCTGAAAGGCAGAAGCTGGATTCGCAGCCTTGTTCCATTCCCTAGCATCTAGCACAGCGCCTTTTCAAGCAGAAGATGAGGTGTTTTAGTTTGGAAGTGTAGAGCAAGGGCAGGATTTTGGCAGTGCAGTGCACGGGAACCTAAGGCTGATTCATGCTGACTTCCTAGAACTAAATCAAAAGGAAAACCCCCACTTTCCACACCTAAGTAATAAAAGGACCTGAGGCTACTCCTTTTGCAAACCTCCACTCCCTTTTCTGTGTGGCAGATGGAAAATTGAAAGTATCAATGATTGGTTGCTTTCCAAAAAGCAACTGCCAGTCAAGTCTTCATTTGCATGGAAGTATAACTTTGTACCTTCACTTTAGCCTCAGACTGGTTGCTTTCCACAACCAATCAGACATTTGCATACAGTATAACTTTTGTAATTTCACTTAACACTCTGATTGTCGACCACTACTTCATTTGCCTGGGGTGTACACTAAGTGGCCAATGGGAACCTTTAGAGGGTATCTAAACCCCAGAAAATTCTGGAACCAGGCTCTTGAGCCCCTATGCCCAGGCCACTCCCACTCTGTGGAGTGTACTTTCCTTTTCAATAAATTTCTGCTTTTGTTGCATCATTCTTTCCTTGCTTTGTGCGTTTTGCCCAATTCTTTGTTCAAAACATCAAGAACCTGGACACCTTCAACCAGTAACCACCACCAATACAAAGCTCTCCTCAATTCTGGGACCTTCTCCCCCTTCAATGAAACATGAGCAGAAACGACTTGTGACACTTTCACTGGGAGCACTGGATTGCTGGTGCTTGGCTCTCCAGCATACCCCTCCCTGGCAAGGATTGTAGAGGACTTGAATTGAGATGTGGCCAGCCTAGAGCACTAACAATGAGGAACAGCTGGGCTGGAGGGTTGCCCACGCCGCAGCAGGCTTGGCATGACTTGGCATGACTAAGAAAGCCTTTGTTATGTTAAAGCCACTGAAAATGTTGGGTTGTTTGTTACCATGGCATAACCTTGCCCATCTGACACTTATTATTTTAAATTTCTAATGATTGAGGGTAACAGGTGACTTTGAGTCCAAGTTGGCTTCTTGGAAATTTGGCACCTCAAATATAGGAGATCTAAAACTGAACAAGGAGTGACCAAGTGCAGTGGGTAAGAAAAAGGGTTTTGGAGTCAGGTTGATCAGGATTTTAGTACTGGCTTCCATGATATAGAAATTATGTGTCCTAAGCTAGCAGTTTTCAAACTTTGTGGTCTCAGAACCCCTCTACATTCTGAAAAATCATTGAGGACTCCAAAGAGCATTCGTTAATGTGGGTTATATTTGTGAATATTTACTGTATTAGAATTAAAACAGAAATTTAAACGTATGCATTAATTCATTTTAAATGAACAATAAGCCTATCACACATTAATGTTATGTTTTTATGAAAAATATATTTCCCAAACAAAAAAATTCATGCGAAGAGTATCATTGTTTTACATTTTTGCAGATTCCCGTCATGTCTGGCTTAATAGAAGACAGGTAGATTCTCATATTTGTTTCTTCATTTTATTTATTTTGGATAAAGTAAAGGAAGAAAATGCAGCCTCACACAGATATGTAGTTGAAAAAGAGTCATTTGGAAAATACTGTTTCATCAAAGTATGCAGATCTTCCAAGGGTTGAGACATTTCGTTATACAATATTTTTAAATCACATCTGTGAACACCACCATTGATCTCATTAAAAAGTCTTTAAGGATGGGGAAGCTGTTAAACTCAAGACAGCACATGCAAGTTTTCCAAAATCTAATTTCACCTGGAAGGTTGATTAGTATTACTGTAAACAAATCATATCAGCTGTTTTCCTTAAAGTGGCAGGCTCCTTTTATTTTTAAGAAAATGCCGAGCCTCTAAACCTGAATAACCTGAATAGGTTTATCCATTTTTTTAATCAATTAAACATGGCGTTACATGAAAAATGCAGCTAGTTCAGCTTGTAACTCAAGCAATCTCACAAGCCCTTTTTCTTGAGACATCATGCTTTAATATGTAGACGTGCTTTTATGCTTACCCCTCAACTTATTATACAAAATGTTATAAAGATGTGTACTCAAGGGTATAATTTAATAAACTTAGTAATTTTTACTGCTTCATCAAGGACTTCGTAAGTGAACTTGGCTTATTTTGTTTGTTTTCCCACTGCAAGCACAGTCTGGTGCCCTACCATATGGCAGTAGGCAGCACGTTTATCCATGATTGCTTTTGCACCATTGGTGGAAATGCACACGCAGTAAAAGCAAGTAATGTGTTAGTACTGCTGTAAAAGTAGTTTCGACCTTGCAGACCTGGACACCCTGAGTGTCAGGGATGCCTAAGAGAATCACTCTCCTTAGGCAAGCTGCTTAATCTCCCTAAAGTAAGAATGACAGTCATAAAGCTGTGTGGAAAATTAAATATTATTCAACATGAAATAAAGTATGTATAGCACTTACTATAGTGCATGGTATAGAACAAGCATTTCTATACCATGCATCTATTCATTACTATGAATAGTACTGAATGCATCTATTACTATGCATCTATTCCTATTGTGAGGTCATTGCTATCACTTACACTAATGATAATCTTTCCTTTTTCTCCACAAACTCACTCCTCTGGCAGATCTCAGTTTTAGTTAATTGCCTCATCTGTCTCCTCTGTGGCCTCTTTGCCCCAGCCAGTATTGACTCACTTGCAAGAACAATTGATCTGACTTCTGCTGTGCCCTCACAGCAGTCCCTTCCCTTCTATTCCTGTTGCTACTACCTCCGTTAAATAACAGGGTTTCCATTAAAAGCACTTCTGGCTGTTGGTATTTGACCTGCCTGAGACTCAGTTTACTAATCTTGTAAAGTGGGAATAATAGTCCTGTCATAGGTTTTTCTTTTTTTGGTGTGGGGTTAACTGAAACAATATATTTGAAAGTAACTGGCAGAGTGCCTAGCTACTGCACGTGTTCAGTACATGTTAGTTTTCCTTCCTTTCTCCTTTTCTCGTAATTTTTTTCAGCCAGTTGTTTTTCTTTCCTTCCCCTCTCCAATCCATCCACAACATTACCATTGAATTAAACTTCTCACAGCACCGATCAATCATGAAATCAGTGCCAACTCACAGGAACGGAGTGTTCACCATGTGAATGCATCATAATTGAAATACTCATTATTTTTCTGATGGGGTTGCAGAATTAGGACACCAGGTAGGCCTTAGGAGCTGAGCCTTGTAGTGGAGGTTTTGGTCATCACCTGCTGAAACAACCTTCCATCTCTTCACTGCTCATTGCTCCACTCAAGGGAAGGCCATTCTTCTAGCGTGGCGCCCGAATCCCCGCTCTGTGTGGTCCTAACCAGCCTCTCCACAGTGTTACTTCTTGTGCTGGTCAAACTGAACAGCTCCTCAGTCTCTGAACTCTTGGTCTTCCATGGCATTTTTTGGCTGTCCCCTCTGCTAGAAATGCCTTCTCCCCTTCTCTCTTGGCAACTTCGCCATCTTAGTGAGGGCCCCATGCAGCCCCGCTGATGAATGTGCTTTCCTTCTCCCTGCTATTGTTCATATGCTTCTTAGGGGATTTCCACGTTCTGGGTGGGTTTATGGCTATTTCTGTATGTCTCAGCCCTCCGAACTAGACTGTGATCTCCCCCAGGAAAATGCATTTTCTCCAGCCTTAGCCATATGAGGGTCTCACACATGCAGTTACTCCATGATACATTTGTCACAAATACACACAAACTTTGTTGAGCTTATTAAGCAGGATCCTACATCTGAAAGCAGTTGTTGTAAAATGAACAACTACTTATTAGCAACAGCACCAAAAACACCAACACATTTTGTGTAGGCTGCTGAACAGTCATGCCCCACGCCTTCTGTTCTTGGTAAAAGTCAAATGCAGACACTTCCTGTCATGCCTGCTATGAGTGATTCCTGATCTTTACTGAGAACAGGAGGATACGTGATTCTAGAAAGGAGAGCAAAACAGCCAAGTAGATCATCTATTTCTGATTACAAGTTTCTAGGATAGCTCATTCTTGTAGACAGTCTTTATATTACTCTGTGTCTTCAGAAAAGAACAGAAAATCAAATGTCAATGGTTTCAGATTTCTGGGCGTTCCTTGAGGGTTTGCTGAGATGGTAACCTGTTATATTTCCTGGATTGTGGTTCAGGATTGTTAGGCTATGATAATCCCTTTGTGAAGCCTCTTTGAATAAAAATTTTGGTTGAAAGTTGGGTTTGACAGAAAGTTGGCCTATAATTTTTTTTTTTTCCCAGACAGAGTTTTACTCTGTTGCTTTGTGATCTCAGCATGCTGAAACCTCTACTTCCCCAGTTCAAGCGATTCTCCTGCCTCAGCCTCCTGATTAGCTGGGATGATAAGTGTGCACCAGCGTTCCTGGCTAATTTTTATAGTTTTAGTGGAGATGGACTTCCACCAGGCTGGTCTCAAACTCCTGACCTCAAGTGATTCGCCCGCCTCGGCCTCCCAAAGTGTTGGGATTACAGGTGTAAGCCGTTGCACCCAGCCTTGCTTATAATGTTTGAATAGCTTTGGAAGCAATGAGAGACAAGCTCCTCAAGGGCATTAAAAAAACCACTGTACGTCATCAAAGTATTCTTCCCGAGCACCTGCAGTGGGCTGTGGCCCGTGTCCTCTCCAAGTGATGCAAGTTTTGCTCCCTCTCTTCTCTTCCTGTCTCGCTCTTCTCCACAGGGAATACAGATTGTCTTCCTTCCCAAAAGACTAAAGCATAAGGTGCAAGTGATGAGTCATTCTCCTGTAACCCCTCAGTGTCCACTGATTGTCGGGTGTGGGAATGGTTAGCAGTTGCTTAAGGTACTGTAGCATAGGTCTGATACTATAAAGTCCTGGAGACCCTGCTTTAGACATTCTATTTCACTGTTAGACCTTAAGATCTAATTTTAGGTTCGGAAAATAGTCCTCAAGACCACTTTTAATTCATAAAGCTGCTGTTTTCTGCAGAAAGAGAACGGTCCTCCTGAAATGTGTCAACTGCTAATCCACTTTAGGCCTGACACTGAGTGAGAGAGCCCAGAGAGTGGGAAGAGTTGGAATACGCCCTCTGGGCTTTGCTAGTACAGAAGCAGGGTGTCCGGGAGGCCCCTTCCAAGTCACAGGAGAGAGGGAGCAGGCTGGAGGGAGCAGAGTGAGGTGGTGTTCCACCTTGCCGCCCCTCCCCCAACCTGCTACACTGCTGTTGTCTGATTTGCTCATTCTTGCTGTGCCTGGGTTGGGGCGCCTGTCCTTTCTTAGCTCTGGAACCTGCTATTTCTCCTTTAAGATCCTGTGCAACAGCAGCTTTTCTTACAGATTCCAAAGGCGCTGAGAGATTTTGTTTTTCCCTGTGTTCCAAAGTGTTCTCATCTACGCATGACATAGCATTTATCACAAAGTAGCAAAGTCAGTTATGAGCCTTATTGTCTAACTCCACTGTGAATTCTTGGGCCCAGGACCACGTTCTATGCTCTTTAATATCTGCCCCAAAGCCTAGCAAAGGGCATATCAGCTAGAAGTGCTCCCCATCATTTGAACAAATGAATGGGGTTCAGCCTTTTGGGCCGCAAGTATAGTTGTAAGATCAGAAACCATCTGTCTAGAACTTGTTCGTTAGATTATTTTCGTTCTCAATGGTTTTCGTATGTCTTTAGGTTCTCCTTCAGTATTTAGAAAATTCTCTTTAAAATTACGTCTGTTTTAACCAGGTTGCAGCAGTGCCTTCCCCAATAAAAGATTGCTCCTTGCTTCTTCCCCTGTCCCCAACAAGTTCCAGAGGCCAGCATGGAGGTGACGGCTGGGATTATGTTGAGTGAATCCCAAGAACATGGCCTGCTTGTTTTCATATCATAATCTTAGAGTTCTGGGATTTTTTTTTTCTACTTAGAATTGTTCCTTTACAGTTGATGTTACAGGCAAGCAGTGCCTATCACATGTCTGTTAGTATCCTCACGAGTATATTGCTCTAGGAAACTCTCTCAACGAGTGATTCGGAGACAGAGCTCCAAGCAAGTCCATCTATCATATGACTTGAGTAAGCGAAAGGCAATTCTTTTTAAAATGTGAGTTATGGAGCTTTGTAATGTGCCATTTGTCTATGTCTACTGTGGAAAGGAAGGACACCAGGGCAAGTTTATTACTTAAACGGTGTGTTCTCCGTTGTCTTCAGGGCTTAATTTTCCACACCTTGTTCTGGAACATAGTAATACTCTTAACATGATGAATTTCCATGAAAACATTGATTAAGCACCAAGAGTTGCTTACCTACACAGAGTAGGCATTTGTCCTTGCTGATTACCCTTCTGTGTCTAATTAAACACAGTTTGGTTAAATGTTTACTACCCCACATGTGCAAGGAATATTTTCTTGGAAGAAAGCGAAACAGCTCTGGAAATTGGAAACAATCTAGAACTCTCAACTAGGCAGGTAAGCTTTAGAATTTCCCCAAGGATAAGAGCAATGAAGTCAGTCAGCTGTAGATTTCAAGAGCTGCACTAAGAAATGAAATGGAAGGATCCCTACATTTCTTTTTCCTCCTATCAAAATAATACTGACACAGAACCACAAACCGTGGGCAAATGGAACAAAATGGAACTATTTGCATTCATGCTAAATGGATAACACATGAAATATTTAGTTCCAGGTTTTAAGAAGTCAATATAAACCACCCAGAGAAAACCCATTGTCTCCAGGCTTCCTTTACAAACAATAGCAGCAGGTATTATACACGGCAGACAATACTGTCCTAACGCATTAGAGCCTAAGTTGCCTAAAGACATTCAAGTTAAGACGGCTTAGGGCCGGGCGCGGTGGCTCACGCCTGTAATCCCAGCACTTTGGGAGGCCGAGGCGGGTGGATCACGAGGTCAAGAGATAGAGACCATCCTGGTCAACATGGTGAAACCCCGTCTCTACTAAAAACTACAAAAAATTAGCTGGGCATGGTGGCGCGTGCCTGTAATCCCAGCTGAGGCAGAAGAATTGCCTGAACCCAGGAGGCGGAGGTTGCGGTGAGCCG